ATGACTCTGACTTATACATCCTGTCTTCATATCAAAGCTTTGCCAAACTTTGCACAAACATCCAAGCAATTCACACCACCTACTGACTTTCAAAGGAACTGAAGCACTTAGCTAGGGCAAGCAATTCTCTGTCCCAAGGAGTGAAGGTCAAGTGTGTACCAGCTGCAACCCTCCTAAATTCTGTATTCCAAAAGTAAAGGCGGAAATCCTGTCCCTTAGTTACAACCAGAGTAAGCCCACTGAATCAGTGAAATGAATGGAGGAGCTGATTCACCAAATCCTCACTGCTTGAATGGGCCTATTCTCGTTGCCAGCTTGCAACGCAAAGCAATAGCATTTTGGACACAATTTTGTACTGGTGATTTTAAAATTAATTTCACAATCTCCTTCTTCGCCATCAAACCAGTCAACCTATGCACTGTGTGTTCACAACTAACTAAAATGTACATGTGAGGTGGGGAGGATGCAACTCACTGAACATAAAAATGTGTAGTACCCACCCTTTTTAAAACTTCACACCATTGTTTGATGGCATACCATTGCTTAAAATAATTCAATTTTTCAAACAAGCAAAACAAACAGGAGGAACTGGAAAAAACCTTTAAAAGACCAATATGAAATAACAAAGAAAGAAACATGAATTTGAAGTCCAGGAATAAACAATGTTCTTTTCAACAGGGTTATGTCAATAAAACTTTATTTGTTCTGTTCAAACTGAGCAATGGTGAGTTCAATCTGTGGGGGCTGGCTATATGGAGGGTGTTGGAAGGGCCTGAGTGAAGGGTTAAATATTCACACACACAGGAGTAGCTAAAACTTGGTGGCAGTGAAAGGAAAAGAGAGGAAATAAGAGAAGATTAGTAAAGAAAACATGTTTATTCCTGTGGTAATTTGAAGATAACATTACCTCAATAGTAAAGTGAAAAGAAAAAGGGAGGTTTGGAACTGGCATCAGAGAGAAAGGGGATGGCCGAGTTCCTTTTTCACAAAAGTCTCTCATTCTGTAAATACTGTACCCTTTTCTTTCCATTTAACATACTGTTCTGGTTTATTTACATAATAAAAATTAGGACATAGTGTAAATGGGGGCAACAGGGATATTTCTGGCATTCATTTATTTTTCCACTTATTCCAGACTTTTAAAGTAACATATAAAAAAAGATTATCTACCAATTTTATTTTATTAAAAAAAATCTACCAATTTTATTTTATCTAAAAAAAAATCTACCAATTTTATTTTATTTTTATAAGGGACATGGTGGCACTGTGGATTAAACTGCAGAAGCTTCTGTGCTGCACGGTCAGAAGATCAGCAGTCATAAGATCGAATCCACACAACACAGTGAACGCCTGTCGCTTCTCCCAGCTCCTGCCAACCTAGCAGTTTGAAAGCATGTAAATGTGAGCAGATAAATAGGTACCACTATGGTGGGAAGGTGTTCAGTGTCTAGTCACGCTGGCCACATGACCACGTGTCTATGGATGAGCACCACGCCCTAAAGTCAGACATGACTGGACTAAATGTCAAGGGGAACCTTTACCTGCCAATCATATATCTCTTATTATTTCCCTCCAAATGCATTTGTTTCCATTAATTGTAAATATTTCCCCTTTGCTTCCATACTATCTATGGCTTCTCTGAAGCTTCATCTAAATATGATACCAATGTTTTTAACTGCTTTACCCAAGTTGTAAGTTCACATATAAATCTTTGAACTCATATTTTCTTCTCTACAGGACAAATCATAAACAAAGCTTTCACATTTTTTTCAGAGGACATTTTAATACCATTTATCTTTATCTACTATGACTAAAATTATGGCTAAATTTGTAAACATTTAGCATGTCTAAGATGCTAATCTTAGTTGTAAAATAGTCCTTCGAAAGTATGTTTTTAGATTCTTAGAATAATTTGAGTGATTCTTGCATATAAAGAATTTTCCACAGACTGAAAGAATTAAAAAATCTGTACAGTGGAGTTAAACAGCTACAGCAGGGTACAATAGCAGCATGACAACTGATAAAAGTCATGCATCTACATAAGTTAAAGATACTCAACTACTAGTTGAAACTTTTCCCAAAATACTTGCCAAAACAGGCACAGAAAACAAAATCATACATTCTCTCCTTCTTGGGTCATTAACTGTCTTTATGTACTTTACTAAATACAGAATTTCAGTAGTTAAATCAAAGTACTTTGTTAGCTAAAATACAGGCTACTACGTATGTTAAGACTACGCTTATATTCTTCATATCTGTGTAAACAGAGCTTCCTATCTTGCCTTTTTTCTCTTTTTCTTTTTGTGGGAGGAACAAATGATAATTATATTTGGCAAGGTTCTCTCTAACCAGTATAGAACTTTTGAGTGTTCTCTTCAGAAAGATTTGGTTCTTTCATAGGCAAATGATTTATTTCCATATATTTGTTCATGAAAAAAAATACAAAGCAAACATTGCAAAGTGACTTGCCACCATGAAGAGACTGGAATGGCTACTACTATCAATAGGGCTTCACCCTGGAAAGTCAAAAGATATGTTCATCATCAACTATTGATTCAAGCATTAATGAGCCCATCTTATCAAAACTGTTTCCTGTTCATTTAATTTCTTCTGATAGAAATTCCTTCCTCCTGCAAAGTTTTTCTTTAATACAATTAGCAATAGCATATTAACATAATTAGCAGGAAAATGAGCAGGATTATAATGCACAAGATTTTGAAATATGTCTATGCAGCAGAGAACACACTACACAAAATTAGTACAGTGGGGTCTCGACTTACGAACTTCATCCGTATTGGAAGGCAGTTCTCAAGTCGAAAAGTTCTTAAGTCGAATATGCATTTCCCATAGGAATGCATTGAAAGCCATTTAATCCGTATCTGCTCTTTTCATCCATAGAAACTAATGGGAAGCTGCTATTCCGCCTTCTGCCACTAGAGGGAGATAATTTTTTTCTTTTTTCCTTTTAATCTAAGATGACTTAGCTTTTTAAAAAAGGGAAAAAAGAGTTCGTAACTCGAATCTAAGTTCGTAAGTCGAGTCCATATATCCCTATGAGAGCGGTTCGTAAGTCGAAACGTTCGTATGTCGAGCCGTTCGTAAGTCGAGACCCCACTGTATATAGATTTTTAAAATAGTACAAAAAAGAAGAAAAGATTACATGACACAATCTATCGACGTAACAATGAATAAAGTCAGTAGCTAAAATCCAATGTAGCCTTAGCTAGAACAGATACAGAAATAAAAAGGACTTACTAGTCACAACTAATGTAAATTCCATTGACCTATGTGGGCAGAAGCTGATCTCTTTTCACCTTGAACCTATTTTAAATAAAAGTCTATATACTAAGCACTGACTAGGTAGCTCAGTGGTTTAGATAGAGGTTGAGAGTTCAATCTCCACTTTGCTTCCTGCAGATAGTGCCAACCTGTGTGGCCTTGGGCAAGCTGAAAAGTCCCAGGGCAACCCCAGAAGAAGGGAATGATAAACCACTTCTAAATAGTCTCTACCTGGAAAATCCTGAAAAGGGCTGTCATAAACCAGAATTGCCCCTTCATGGATTGCTGCCTTGTCGTGGTGAAGGGGCTTGAGTAACTCAGAGAAGCTATGGGCTATGCCGTGCAGGGACACCCAAGACGGACAGGTCATAGTGGAGAGTTCCGACTAAACGCAATCCACCTGGAGTAGGAAACGGCAATGCCGCTCCAGTATCTTTGCCAAGAACGCCCCATGATCAGAAACAAACGGCTAAAAGATATGACGCTGGAAGATGGGCCCCTCAGGTCGAAAGGCGTCCAACATGCTACTGAGGAAGAGCGGAGGACAAGTACAAGTAGCTCCAGAGCTAATGAAGTGGTTGTGCCAAAGCCGAAAGGACGCTCAGCTGTGGACGTGCCTGGAAGTGAAAGGAAAGTCCAATGCTGCAAAGAAAAATACTGCATAGGAACCTGGAATGTAAGACACAACTCCGGGAGGCAGTGGAAGATAGGAGGGCCTGGCGTGCTCTGGTCCATGGGGTCACGAAGAGTCGGACACGACTAAACGACTAAACGACAAAACCAGAATTGACTTGGCGGCACATAATACTAATTACAGTGGTGCCCCGCTTGACGATGATAATCAGTTCCAGGAAAATTGCTGTTAAGCGAAATCGTCATCAAGCGGAAAAAAAAACCCATTGGAATGCACTGAAAACTGGTTAATGCGTTCCAATGGGGAAATACCTCATCATCCAGCAAAGATTGCCCATAGAGAACCGCCAATCAGCTGTTTAAAATCACTGTCTTCCGAAGCAGAGGTCCAGAAAACAGCTATTTTGCGAAGAGAAGCCATTTTGCGGAGCTGGAAAAACATTGTTTTGCGAACAAAAAGTTCGTGAAGCAGGGACTTAATCAACATAAAGCGGATTTCCCCCATAGGAACCATTGTTTTGTGATCGCAATAGCAATCACAAAAAAGTCACAATCAAGTGATTTTGACGTCATGCAGGGTTAAGTGTCTAGCAGGGCACCACTGTATTATATACTAAGCAGTTGTAGAAATACTAAACATGCATACAGCCAGCATACAATGTAGAAGGCATCTGAGGCTCCAAGACTGAACCAGTAAGACTCAGTAAATCCTCCCCTTGGTCACACATTAGATGACTTACTATGAGCAAGAAAACATTATGGGATCATGAACTAGTTAGAGGTGTGTTATGTCATGTTTTTTATTGTTCCATTTTGGTGTATTTGATGGAGGAGGCTCCTCGTAGTTCTACTCAATTCCAGTGTGTTGTTATATCATTTTTTTAACATAAAAACATTTAGCTGCAAGAAACTGGCAGTACTGTGGTCAAACCAGCGTCAACATACGTCTAAAAATCTGTATGCTCCACAAATGGATTTCATCTATATAGAGTCTCATAAAACAGTGGTATAATCACTTAATGTTCCTCCTATTCATACAACTTTCTCCTTTTTCCAAGTAGTCAAAGTTATATATTTTCTAAACCTACCTCATCACTTTCATCAACTTCAATACCACCATCCTTGTCATCATCCATTTGTTTATGAATCGTGCGGAGAGCTTCCAGGTTGTATTTATCTTCCTCAGTAAAACACGGTGGGCTCAGTAAATGGCATGCATCTGAAGGATAAGAAACAAACCAGAAAGAACCTTACCATTTTTAGATTTCAAAGGTTGAATGTAGAAAAGAAAAACATTACTGAAATAAAGCTGCATTAAGTGACAGTTTCTGATTTCTAGGCCTCCATCACCCATAAACCATCTTAGCCTGTATGCTGGTGATATAATTTACACTCCTCACAATGACTAGCAATGGCTGCGCTATATATACTACATGAAAAGAAACTTACGTAGAAGGTGGTATTTCTCTTTTTTGACTATTGAAAGTAAGCAACATTAGAACATTATAAACATGATGCCAGGTTTTACCTGTGAAGAGACTGGTGAAAATATATATACAGTAAAATAAAATATTACTACTTAAGCTAACACATAAAATAAATGAATACAATGTGTCACAGCAAATGAAAAGGTATATTCAGGAGATAGCAAAGTTGAAGGGAGGCATATTCTGTCCCCAACCAGAAGACAAAGTGCCACTCAGAGGCTGTATTTCCCATATCTCAGGAACAGTATCATGACAGAAAAAGAACAGGCCATCTATCATGCTGGTATTTGTTTTCCTTGTTCTATTTTGTTTTGTGTGTCTTTTAGATGTGAGCATTTATTCAAGAATTGGTATATTTTAACGCCTTCATAGCACTCAGAAAATGGATGATGGTAATGATAATTATGATGGCTAGATATGTATGACAAACATGCTTTCCAATACACATGTAATATTCTTATTGAAGATGCAAGATTGGGCACGGTGTTTTGTTAGATACACACACTGTGTAACACCTGGCACATATGTGGGCATAAGAAGTCAAGTAGCCCTCTTCAGACTTCTGTTATTGTGAATACTTACACTTTCAGAGCAGTATTGTTTACTAAAACACTGAATCCTCCTGCTTCTGGAATTGCTTGTAAAACAGATTAAAATGTATAACCCAGCCAGAACAGGTGACTTAAAGTGTTCATACATACATTATAATAATAGTTGCTGTATCCAAACTATCTGGTAGCATAAGCAGCATATCAGAATTTTTTTAAAGATCTGTTGACAAATACTTATATTGTGTCAAAATTCAACTGTGATGCTTCATGCCAGCCAGGGAACAATGAAGAAGTCAATCATTCCAAATATTCAGACCCAATGTGATCTTTCCATGTTTCAATACACATTAATCTTTACATCTCCACAGTTAAACTTTACTTACTAGATCCTGTATTTATTTATTTTGTTTATTTATTTCATTTATACCCCGCCTATCTGGTCGATTGTGACCACTCTAGGCGGCTTACAACACACATTATAAAAACAATTAGACCTATAGCACAGCACATAACATAATTTTCATAAATAAAAAGAAATAATTTTTCCCCAAAATGGCAAGAAACAGGGTATATTATAACAGAATAGGAAAGAAAGAATAATTAGGAATTAACTGGAAGGGGGGAAGGCCTGCCTAAACATCCATGTTTTCAGTTGTTTCTTGAAAATAACCAGTGAGGGAGCCGCGCAAATCTCAGGAGGTAAGTTGTTCCAGAGGCGAGGAGCCACCGCCGAGAAGGCCCAGTTTCTTGTTTTTTCCTTCTGGGCCTCCCTCGGCATCAGGCCTCACTTCATATCATTTGTTTTAAATCAAATTTAAGTTCTATGTGCCCACCAATGAAGTGTCTAGCCAGGAATGTATTCAATTGTATGTTGGTATTTATTGCACAATTCTGCCAACTCAAACTGAAACATCACTGAAAATTAAAAGAGTCATTTTAACCCCTTTAACATTTTAATCACAAAGATCCTCACTCTTTATTTTAATGATTAAACTGAATTTGTAGATCCCTTAGTGGGCCCATAGGGGTTGATGAAAAGCCTCTTTGATTTGCAAAATGAAGAGGTCCTGGATATGTGAAATGCCAAAGCCTGACAAACATCCAGGGAATGTAAAAAATGTTCAAGATCATTGAATGATGAGGGGGGAAAAGTAGGTAAAATTATTGGCTGTTTGATGAGAAATTCTGAAACCACTTTAGGCAAAAAAGAAGCATCCGTATACTGAGTAACTTTATGAGGATGAAACTGGAGGAAAGATGGGTCCACACATAGTGCAGTGAGCTTGCTAGCCTGACAGGCTGAAGTAATGGCAAGCAGGAAGATGGTTTTGAGGGAGAGTAGTCTCAGACGTTGTGGACAATGGCTCAAAGAGAGGTAGCGTGCAGCACTGTAGTACAAGGTGTAACAACCACTGTGGAGATAATGCTGGGCGTGATGGTTGAATGTTGGCAAGGTCTTTGAGGAACTGCTTCAGGGTGGGGTGGCGGAATAGGATGGCAGCATCTGAATCCTGAGATTGGTGTACAATTATGGTGGCTATGTATATCTTGAAAGAAGACAAAGAAAGGCCACAATGGAAGAGATGGAGCAAGAATGCTAAGAGCAAATCAATATTTGTTGGAGCAGTAGGGTAAACATGCTCCTATGCAAACTTGGAAAATGTAGCTCATTTGTAAGTATAAAGATGGGTTGTGGATGCAAGAGAGCCTGAAGATTTGATGAGGGCACTGGAATTGCGAGTGCTGCCAAAGGGGGAAAAGAGGAAGAGGACAGTGGTAGATACCTCTGTCTATCTGCTTGTGGTCTATATCATTAATACATGTAAGTATGTCTCCACTGGTAACGCTGATGGCAGAAATAAGACTTAGTGTCGTAAGAATGTGCTGGTTTTCTCATTCTTTGCAGATTGTCCAGAATCTCATCAGTCTTCTCATTAAAGAGGCCTGCACAACTGAACAATAAGTCTTCAATTCGCAACCATGAGTCTTCTGATATGTGAGCGAATGTAAGCCACACGTGTCTATGGAGTGTGACTGCCGTGACCATGTTTCACTGCAGTGTCAATCATGTGGTGAACTGTGATCGCTTGGCAGGTAGGGTCATGGCCTCCTGATGGAAAGTGAGGCTGCGGGGTCTATATTCTTCAGGTGTGGACTGGAGAATGGGCAGAGCTTTATTCCACAGCTGGCAATGATATGCTCCCATTGCTGCTAAGCAGCTGGCTACATGCAAAGTGAAAGAAGCCAAAGAGTAGATCCTATGACCAATGATATCTACTTTTCTGCCTTCCCAATTATTAGGGGTGGCATTACAGCAGTTGCATGCTCTATTCTGAGTGGCATCTACGAGGTGGGTGCTTAAATAAGAATGTAGTGCTGTCGCCGTGTGTTTTTTACAGATTTTTGAAGCGTCTGGCCATTTGTGGAACAGAAGGAGGTTTGGACCAAGATTCTTTAATGAGTTCCAGAAGGGAAGGGATGAACCCCATACAAAGTGGGGGGAGGAGTTTGGTCCTGGCTGATGTCTTCATACACTTTGCCTGACTCATTCTGTGTGAGTTGCTGGACTTCAAGGTCCATGACCTTTGCAATGTGTAAAATAAGTTGGGAGTAAGAGGGAAAAAAATCATCTGATGGTGATGGTGGGTTAGCATCTCATGTGGTGGTGCAAAGTTCAAGGCCTTGGTATCAAGAGACTGGATGGCTCAGATGCAGAAATTGGTATTCTGGAGATGCAAAATAGTGCCCATAAGGCAATGATGAAGTGTAGTCATCTTGTAGTGGGAGAGAAGGAAGATAATGTTTGGGCCTGGTGACCGTACCTGAGAGAGTGTGATCAGTTCATTAGCACGAGTCTGGGGGTTAGTATTGAGATGCAGGGCTGTTTTGGTACTGTGGCCGAGTGCAGGATGTGTGGTTCAATGGTATGAGCTCATTTCAGATAATACTTTTTTGGCTTCGGTACCGGAGGTGAGGTAGTAACTCAACATCAGAGGAAAACTCTGGAAGAGCCTCCTTGTAGGGTATGGAGGGGGAGATGGTGATCCCGATGAATCAGAGAGGTAGTAGTAGGCATACCAGTAGTGTTTGTATAGCCATGGATGAGATGACCAGTGCCAGTATGGTCGATCTCAGTATTACCTAAGTTAGGGCTCATAGTAAGTAGGGTGCTCATCGAAGATAACATCCTTAGGACAGTGCTATCAAGCCTGAGCATCATGTGATGCAATTACCCCCAGAGTTGGGGGAGCTTGCAAATCCTTGGCATCAGGTCGGCAAGTCTCTGCTACATGGTGAGTTTTCCTAGATCGCTTTAACAGGGCAGTATGAGATCAGCTAAGGTAGAGGCTGAAATCAGAGTTTCGAGTGGAGAGACAGCATCCCATAGACACAGGGCTCGAGCACGCTGAATAAATTATTGCTGTAACCTTGGCCAAGGTGTTTCCCCATTCAGGTGACTGACTGAAGGCTGGGGTGAAGGGTGCCCTGACAGTGAGAGATTGGAGTCATCCTCTCCTGAAAGGGAGTCAAGGCAGACAGTTGTCTTTTCCGGCATGGGTGGTGGAAGAGTAGTCTCATCCACCAAGGGTCAGGCTGAGGTATGTAGATTTATGGCTAGGCGAGACCTCAGATGATTTCTTCTTCTTTTTAGGTGGCTTGGAGTGATCAAGTGCCGAGGCTGGTTCTGAAATCTATCCCAACGTTGATGTGAACTTTTGGGGGGGGGGCTTATATACCGCCCCATAGCGCTACAAGCGCTCTCCGGGCGGTTTACAATTTTAATTATACAGGCTACACATTGCCCCCCCCCCCCAGCAAGCTGGGTACTCATTTTACCGACCTCGGAAGGATGGAAGGCTGAGTCAACCCTGAGCCGGCTACCTGGGATTTGAACCCCAGGTCGTGAGCACAGTTTTAGCTGCAGTACAGCGTTTTAACCACTGCGCCACGAGCACTTGGACTTGGAGGTTGATTTAGATTTACATTTGACCAGTTGTGGTCTCGATGCAGGTGAAGTAGATGGTAGTCAGGTCCTGGGATGGAGGGATGGTGTGAAATCTATAGTATATGGTTAAGCATTCCCAAAGATAGAATATGCTGTTGCCAGAGTCTGAGTGCCTGTTTGGTATGGTTTTTGCAGGTGTGACACAAAGAAGACTGGTGGAATTCCTCAAGGCAGA